CTTTTGAAAGCATATCATGCAGATAGGATGAAGAGTAGCGACTTCAGCCTGATGAATTCGAGGCTTGCTTTGCTCTAACCCACGTGGGTAGGACTGTCTCCAGTCGATAGGGGCATTTCAGTCGGTGACAGACCTCGGGTCAGGAAAGTGGATTGAACAATGCTTTCACTGGGAGTGAGGGGTAGGTAAGGGGAGCATAGGGGATTTTTCCCAGCAGTGAAACCACGCAAATGTGGATCCATGCCATAATATGTTTGTCAAAACCCATAGAATGGGGTCCAGCAGGTGGCGTGGTAGTTAAGGTGCCAGACTCCCACGTGGCTGACTGTGGTTCAAGTCTCAGGCTGGGCTGTTTGAAAATCACTCTGGATGTTTGTGTATAAGTGCCCAAATTCCAAGGAGGAGATAGAAGGGGGGACTTAGTGTGTGGCCATCCCCCGGGCGTGATTTCTCACTTTCCCTGTCCATCCCTGTTTGGCAAGTATACAAACCCTATGACAAAACCTAAAATAAAAAGGAAATGTAACATGTACAGCACCAGTAGCAAACCCTAGTGTAAACTGTGGACTTTGGTTGGTAGTGGACATGTCAATATTGGCTCATCGATTGTAACAAACACCCTGGCCTGCTGGTGAGGCTAACCCGAGGGAGTCTGTGCAGCCGGGGCAGGGCCGCGTGGGAACGCTCTGTTCTTCCCACTTCATTTTGCTGTGAGCCTACAGCTGATCTAAAAGATAGAGTCTATTTTTAAAAAGAGATTTCACCAAGCTTTCAGGTATGAGCATATGTTTTAGAATAAGCACATCTTCTGATTTTCAAAATGTTCTTTTTGTTATTGAGAAGCTTAGAGCTTTTTACGTTAAATTAGTACGTGTTTACACATAATGAATACAAAAGTACAGCGAAAACATTCGGCAGGAGGACCTGTTTGGTAAACTTCTGCACGGGGAGGATTCCGCTAATGCAGGTGCGTAAGTTAGGGGCGGCCTATGAAAGCACTGAGACCAGGAATATCAGATTTTAACATGTTTAAAGCAGAGCCTGGGCACTGGGACGAGGTTAATTCAGTAATTACAAAGTGATCTGTGGAGTGACCGGGCATTTTCTCTGCGTTTTCTGGTGGTTTATAACCTGGTGCAATTACAGACTGGGGAAATAGGTGGAATTTCCTGAAATAAGCAGGTGGTCTTATTGGCTAATAAAACAGCAAGTGAGTCCCGATCTCATGCAGAAGGAGCGGCCTGCTGGCCTGCTCTGCTCTTGGCAGACTAGCTGGTTCCTGGACTGGAACTGACTGGGGGCTCCCGCTCTGCGGTGACTGGACTGTCATAACAAGGGGCGTTCCACTGGGACCCAGCGCGAGGGGCGCTTCAGGCTCTTGAGGGTGCGTGCCGAGCTTCAACGGCACGGAGTTTTGTGTCACGTTCTGAACACGGGCTGGTGGCCCTGCCCGAGTGAAGACCCTCAGGGAGTGTGTACCGTGTGAGGCCATCACAAGTCCTACACGGGACATGGGAAAACAGCGCGGGGACTAGCAAGTCGTGACTCGGTCAAAGTCGGATGGAATCCAAACCCGAGCCAGAATGTGGGCAAGTGGGAGGAGGAGACGCAGGAGGCCGGGTCCTGTCCCAGGTGGCTCCGTAAGCACCAGACTCTGAGGGGCGGGAAGTGTGGCCCTCAGGAGGCATGCCAGCCAGGCCGAATGGATCGATATGCACACTTGACTGGACTCAGGGTGAAGTGGCTGAACTTGGGGAAACCAGACTTCTCCAGGGCCCCAACAGCTTTGGGTCCAGACTGATGGAGGAGCCCAGTGGTTCTGCAGCTGCCTCACCTCCTCAGGCCTTGGCCCGCTTCCCAGAGGCTCCCCCACAGCGGGAAGCGGGCAGGCAGCCCTCATGGACACTCTCCGGAACAGAGGTGGCGAGAGAGGGAGCACAGGGGCCAGCAGTCCCGGTGAGTGGGTCCTGATACAGTTCTGTGACAAGGCAAGGGCTTTTGCGGTGTAGATGTTGGGCGGGAGGTGGAGACTGGCAGAATTCTGATTCTGGTCTCCCCAGTCTTTGGATCCCATCACATCAGGTTAACTTCTGGTGTAAGCGGAAAGATTTCATCCAAGCTGCACGGTCGCCATGGAAACTGCTTTACAAGTGGAAATAATGCCCACAGCCTCAAGTTTATCAGCCTTGGTGCTGAGTGGGGACACTTGAGAGTGTGACAGCTAAGTAAACATGAAAGAAAAACAGGGACCGCTTTAGGCAGAGTAGCTAGTAACAAACTGCAGGCCAGCCAAGTTCTTTGATTTGAATGACTTTTAAGCCCTATTCTCAAAGAGGGGAAGAAATCCCCTCAGGAAAATTCAGGAATCTTATTACCAACAGAATAATGTCTTTATAACTAAGCCATACATGGGAATTCAGTTTTAAAAATGGCCTGGTCAGTTGTTAACACATCAGCCTTATCTGCAAACACAGTTGTTCAAACACTGGACTTCCACTGCTCAGCAGGTTCATCAGTTTCAGCTGTCAGAGAGAGAATTACTGGCGCTATTAAATTTCCACCCCATTACCTTGACTTTTACTTAGAGCCACTCATCAATTATTCCACCTTAAAGTTAACCAAGCCATGAAGTCATGAAAGAAACACGATACACCCGATACACCCGATGCTCTCTGGAAATGCGAGTGCTTAGTGCCACTTTTCAACGACAGTTTCTTAAGCACAACAGTAACCTATTGGAGACATTGCTTAGGCCTTTGCCCAGAAACCATCAGTTCAGTTCAAGCAGTGCTTTAGGACACGACGGCTTCCAGTGCCTGGCCTTCCCTGGCCTCTCACCTGCTGCTCTGTTGGCACCTCGTCCCCCAGACCCCTCTGTTTATGCTACGTGGCCCCTCCCCTTAAGGAAAGACTACCAGTTTCACAGTATTACACTCTCCAGGAGTACCCCTTTAGACAAAGCCACTTCCCTGCCCTCCACAGGCAGTGCCCAGGGCCCCCAAATTCTGGATTAGTTTGAAGATAGAGATTCTCTAAGCACGTTTGGATTGTGAATAATACATTTTTTTGGAGAGGTTTTTGCCACAGAGTATGTGTGCTCACCAGAAAGACAGAGAGATAGACAGAAAGCAAGAAATCACCCCCCGGGGGGGGAATGGCCACACCACAATCCCTTCTCCTCCATTCTCCTCTCAGGATCCTGGGCATGCATGCACACGTGCCTGGCATGAGTTTAAGCCACCAGGTCCAGGACTCGAACCCCAGTCGTCTACATGGGAGTCCAGTGATGTAGCCATTATGCCACCTGCTGGTCCCAGTGAATAATATTTTTTAAATCATTTTTATTTTATTTTGCTAATTATTATTTTTAATTTGAACAGAGAGAGAGAGCACACCACCAGGTCCAGGATCTGAACCATGGTTTTAATTTTTTAATTAATTAATTATTATGATTTTAAGTGTGCTGTAGGGCAGCAGACAGAATGAGAGAGAGAGAAAAAGTGAGATAGCAAGTCCTCAGGTCTGGGACTTGAACCATGGTCAGCCACGTGGGAGTTCAGCACTTTAACCTTCATGCTACCTGCTGGCCCCGGTACTGTAAATAATATTAACCAGTCATTCAAAAACCACGTTTTGACTACTGTCCACAGGAATTGAGATAGCTCCTGAGGAGAAGATAGTAAAGGAAGATGGGGTCTTCTCCAACCTCACGCTCCAGACAGGCTTCAGTGCCACGTGAACTAGGGCAGTGCCGCTGCAGAGCTCCCTCGACTCCCTCTGGCCCACAGGGGTGGCATGACCAGGCCAGCCCTTCAGAGGAGAGGGGGTGTAGGGTGGGGAGGAGGGGAGCCAGAGTGATCAGGGTGGGGGTCATTTATATTGGAAAAGAAAACAGTGGATCTTCAATAAATGCAGCTCTATTTTGTGCCTGGTGTCAGTGTGACCATGTGAGTGTGACTTCACATTTGACACTTCCTGCCCTGAGGGTGTCCGTGGTTGACTCTGTTTGGCCCCACTTAGAATCGAAGGGAATGTTGACATGACTGACCCTACTGTATTTACATCTATGCTCAGACTGTTCCTCAGGGTTCACCTCCTCCCAACCAAATTGATTACAAGTGCCCTGCGCCTGCAGTGGGGGAGTTGTCCCGAGGGACAACTCAGATGAGTAGATCAGGGAGACTCAGACATCCCTCTATGAAGAAAGTGTGGCCAGTTTTCCTGCACCTTTGTTCCACATTTGGGCCCCTCTGCTCCAGGTAGGTTTTTTTTTTTTTTTTAAAGAGGGTTTTTGCCTTAGTGCATGTGCGCTTACTGAAGAGAGAGAGAGACAGAGACACAGAGACAGTGAGATTGTGAGGGAAAGTGAGATTGTGGCCATGCCACCGTCCCTTCTCTTACATTCGCCTCCCAGGATCTTGGACATGCACGCACATGTGCCTGGTGTGATTTTCAAACCATCATGTCTGGGGCTTGAACTGCGATCAGCATGTGGGAGCCCAGCAAAATAACTGCTATGTCATTTGCTGGTCACACAGTGATGTTCGTAAGTTATAAATGCTACGACCCACGGTGGGCACGCGGTTGCTATTTCTGCCAATCAGTGTCCTATGGGAGCTTTTGGTGTACCACACCCAGGACATCTGATAACTAAATGAATGTGTGAGGTCAAGCTGAGGCAAAGAAAGTGAATTTGCTGGAGTCGTCAATAAAAGCAGGACTCTGGCAGGAGACACCTGCTGTTGTCTGCTCTTCTGCCTCCATTGCTAATAGGGCAGTTGCACTTGCTGTTCTTTTGTGCAATTATCTCTTGTAGTCTTGTAGGGGTGTTGATCAAGGTACTGGCTCTCTATGTCCCCCACAACCCCCTGGTAAACTGTAGAAGAAATCTGAAAGTTTCCCCTCTTTATTCATGATTGAGTATGCACACATATCTGAGTTCGAGAGAGGGGAGGGGAGCAAGCTCCAAGGCCTGGCCATGCCATGATCCTCTTCCTCCGGTCCTCCCGTCCTTGGGTACTCATGCACGTGTCGGGCATGTTTCAGGCTGGCTGGGCCAAGGATTCAACCTATGGTTACCGTGTGGGATCCACTTTTTCTTGACCGGTGCGTCACCACTGCATCATGGAGCCAGCCTGGGAAATACGAATTGTGAAAGGAGCAACAAGGGACTAAAAGCCACTAAAACTGATTGATACGATGAAATTGTTCTGAAGATACTGACCATCAGTCCATACCCCCTGGATTCTACCCTGATGGATGTATCTTTCCAGAGGAATGAGTGGTGAAATCGTCAGTACTGTAAGCAGTTCCCTGTCTTTTATTTGCTATTAGAAAAAGAAATTAGCTAGAGTTGATTTTTGTGGCTTATTATCAAAGGGAAGCAGTGTATGCCCTTTCCTCTCTGGTCCAGCATCCAGCCACAGGGATGGGGAGGCATAAAACCAGGCGTCATGGGCAGGGTGCACGGATAACTGCACATCACCCAGGCGTCTCACAGTGCTGGTTTAAGCGTAGTTGATGTGTGTGGGGGGGGCAAAGGCAAACAGAGAAGTTGGGGAGAAAACGAAGAGGAAGACGGTCTGTTCATAAGGGAGGAATCTCCTCCTGCCACTCATAACAACACTAAAACAGATCCAGACGGTCAATGCTATGAGTCAATTCTGGTACGTGGTACCTCATGACAAACACCTGCTGGTTTCAGTTTCACTCACCAAGAACCACTCATTTGTCCTCCAAAGTTGCGCACCAGACTTCCGAACTGAAAAGAAGCAAAGGCGAGATGGTGTTGCTGTTACATCTGGACTAGAAGAACAGAAGGGTACATGCTGCCTGGTCTTTCTTTTAGAGTTCCCTGTCTTCCCCACCCCAGTTGCTCTTTAGTAAGAATTCCTGAAGGGCGCCCACTGTTGGCCATGGATTCTGTCTTTAGTAAGGATTCCTGGAGGGCCCCACTGTTGGCCATGGATTCTGTCTTTGATATCACAGGCACTAGGGAGCTGTTAAAAAGTGAGACTTTAAAATCGAACATGTTATACTCCACTGTAAAGAAAAAGTCTTGTATAACAAAAGCACAAGAAGTATGTGTTATTGACATTAAAGGCAGCACAGACAACGCATCTCAAGGAGAGTCCATCAGCTTTGCTTCTGACAAGAAGCACGCTTACGGCACAGGAAGAACGGGAACGGGTGGATAGGAAGCGGGTAGGTTTGGCAGAGAAAAGGAGACATGGAAAAGTAGCTGAAAGAATCGAGAAACAATTCTTTTTGTTTTTAAACTAGGGAAGATCAGGACACATTTGGAGGCAGAGAGAAAATGCTGTTGAAGAGGATAAGCATTGCAGAGCTGCTTCTATGGGCCTGCGACCCCTGCACACATCCAGGGCCCTACATTCGATGTAAAGCTCTACTGTCATTGTCTAAATTCTTCATATATATATTGTTTGAACCAAGACCCTGCGTTTTCATTTTACACCTCACAGACTCTGTAGTGAGCCCTGGGGACCAATAACTGTGGAATGCTCTGAAAGGTGTACGGAAGGTTCTGCTGGATTATTTGGGTGGACACAATGGCATTAAAAGGGTCTTTCAGTGAGGTTAGCTCAAGAAGGCATGTGACAGCAGCACCGGAGGGAACAGAGACCAGAAAGAATACAGGGGTCTCCAGGAGCTGTGGAAGCAAGGTGGCCCTGTGCCCTGAGACTCAGACCTCCACTAGTGGAAGAGCATGCATTTGTGTAAGGCACTAAATCTGTGCTAACTTCTTGCTGCACTGAGAAGAAAATGCACTGGTGCAGAAATCGCATGCTGAAAGCAGGCATGGCCCTCCCTAAGTGCTCTGCGGAGCCCCTCTGCTCCTAATTTTCTGGAGAACATTCTAGAGCCTAGGCACATCTTTTGGGTTGTTCCCCATGGCCTTCCCCATTCCCATGTTTTGTCCTGGCCTTCCGGGTAGGTCCTCAGCTTTACGTTTATTATTTCTAAGTGCATTACATCTACCAGTGTCTAAGGGGTGTGTTGGCCTAGGATGCCCTCAGGAGCCTAGGCCCCCTCAACCGCAGGTGTAAGGCTACAGAAAACCGGAGGAGACAGAGAAAGCCCTTCCGATCTCCAAAAGCCCGCGCGCTCCGACGTCCCTGACTCAGGGTCCTGGGGTCAATCCTGTGGCCCTCAGCCTTGCGCTGTCAGGGCCACAGCCTTGTTTCCATAGCAACTGCCAGGCTGGCCAGAGGAAGGCCCCGCCCCGCGCCTCCCCAAGCCCCGCCCACTGTTTTGAAGCCCTCGTGGTCCGGCCTCATTGGTTGCCGAGCCTGGAAGGCGGGGACTCCGCAGGGTCGCTCCCCACTCCGCTAGGCGGCAGAAGCCAGCTCCCACAGTGCCCCGCGGTCGGGGGCGTGGCCTCGTCGAGGCGGGGGTGAAGCCGGGGAGCTGGCTCTCCTCAGCCGCGGCC